GGCGTCGAGTCGAAAAAGGTTGCGGGAACGTTGGGCGAGATTGAGAAAGCACTCCGACGAGCAGATTCCTCCTCCCAGCGGTGTGTTTTTGCCAAATACGTGTGTTGCGAAAGGTTCGCACAGTTTCGGCGCACGTGCGCTCGTTTCGTTTGGCAATGGTTCGCCTCTGTTTGCAGGGATTAAGATTACGTCGGAATAGTTTCGTTTCTTCACTGCTTTATTATTACCTTCCGCGCACCGCCCCGAACAAAGTTACTTCGTTACCCAGGAACTACAATTACCGCGGCTGTGCGCGCTTGTAATGAGGTCCACTTGCTTTAACTTTCGCGATGAAGACCGCCGTTTTTCCATAACGCAGCTTCCACCTTCCCCCTCCGCCGCCACCTCGGAGAGCATTTCAGTCTGGAGAGTCAGTTTTCAAGTATTATTTCGAATACTTTTTAACAAATTCCATGAGAAATTATTTCTTGGTGTTAAGAGTATACATCATTTATTTTTAATAGAAATTTTCTTTTATTAAGGAATGTTCAATAATATTAACGTCAAAAAAATAGAAACATGAAGCTCACGTATCAATTTTTTACTATAGCAGGTGTATTTTTAAAGGTTTAGAAAATTGAGAAAATTCTTCCCTATAGACCAGTGGATTTGAAATAATTTTAAACTCCTCTTTTAAAGAACTTTCCTTTGCCAGAACGTTCTACGCCAATAAATGATAATGGTACACGCGATCAGCAGTGGTATCAGCGCTCAGACAATGGTGCGTGAATACGACACCGTTCACACGTCATGAATATTAAATACGGTTAATTGTTTAGAGATTAAATTTATTCAAGTCAGTGAATACGGGTAATGGAATACTTGGAAGAGCCATTACCCTTTACACACGTCTATTTACATAAAACCTCAGCCTATGAGGATCGAGGGAGCACGGGCTGAAAGGGTTTTCACGTCTCTTTGGCTACTCTTCAGATTTGAATTAATCAAGCTAATTATGCGACTCGCAAGTTTCGCCCGAGTTCGCGGCGGCGGGCTCTCCTTCGAGATTTAAAGAACTAATCGTCGTGCTTGCGCGTACAGTGTTCATGCAGAAAATTGAAACAACTCCGAGTAACGACTTTTCAACAGTTCAAGCTACGAAGAAAATTTAAAAACAACTTTTACGAGCGTAAAGCGGCATTAAACGAAAAGGGAACAAAGCTGCTGAGCCTTTCGGAGCGCTTCAGTAATCAGAATTCAACTTAAATGCTCTCGTAATTATGGCAAAGCCTGCTAAAACTTACTTTGAGGGCATCATCTTTGAGTTAAAATTAAAATTAAAAAATTCTGATGCTTCTTTTTAGGAGAATATCTATAGCACTATAAATATACTATAGAATTAATAATTATACTATAGAATTGACTTTGAGGGTATCATCCTTGAGTTGTAATTAAAATTAAAAAATTCTGAAGCTTCTTTTAGTTTCTGAGAAGCATATTTATAACACCATAAATATACTATAGAATTAATAATTATAATACATTATAGAATTGACTTTGATGGCATCACCCTTGAGTTCTAATTAAAATTAAAAAATTCTAAACCTTCTTTCGTGGAGCATATTTACAGCACCACTCGTATTTTAAAATGTTTCGAACATTTTAGTCGATACGAATGAATAAATTTCAAAGAACTTTAATCCTCATTACTTACCACATCCTTTCGGATTCTAGAATTAATCTCTTTCATTTCCACCAAGAACTTCGAAACGTTCAAAAATATAGATGGTGGTATTGTTATGCTCCATAGTTTAGTAACTGTAGGGCGATCCTCAAGCAGATACGAGTCGGATCTTGTCCAATCAAGACTCCAGAGATTCGGGAACTCGCTGGAATAATGTAGCCAAGTGGTCGGTTACTTTCTTACAGCGCGGAGAAGCACAGTATTGGCGAGCGCCGGTTGAAGGCAATTCGATGTTCCCCAAAGCTGTTGCAACTATTCCGGAATCCCTAGCGTCTACACAACAGCCGTTGTTAACAACTACGCTATGTATGAGCCGAAGCAAATTAAACCAGACACGGTCTCGCCTTCCAGCGTTCGCTTTCCAATATCGTTTGAAACAGTTATTTGCGGCATTCTTGCGTTATCAGGTGCAAACGCGGATCGGGCGTGTCTCGGCTTTCAATCCGCGGAAAAATTGAACCGAGTCATGGACAAATCGCTTCAGAGGAAGGTTAAAAAAAATACGAATCTATCAATGAACATCACTGTTGTATTTGTATATATACTTTGTATTCCATTAGGTACGTAAATACGTAATGACACTGGTTTACAAAATAAAGAAAAAATATGTACATTCAATACCACAATTCTTTTTCCTGTGTATTTTGGCCTGCTAAACTCGAAAATCGCAATGAAAAATTTTTCTATGGATTTTTGTCCATATCTCGAATTAGAAACGTCCGATTGAGTCGCGCAAGGAGCCATATTAAAGGTAATTGAATTTACAACAACTGCTTCTTACATTGTTTTCCAATCGGTTCGATAGTTTAAGTGTTACAGGCTAATATGTATGAAAAACTGCGATATTTCGGCTAAAGTAGAACACGATCGTTCTTCTATCGCCATGCAAAACTAAAGAGTGTTAAATTATGTCCAATTTCTCATTGTTTACGTATAGATAACACTTTTACTAAACTTTACAAAAGAATCCTAACCACGTCTCGATGGCAGTCGCGCGGGAGCTCACTTAGCTGGAAGTTAACGGTGTTTAATACCAGCAACCGCCGGAGAGATTAACGAAGGGCTCAAAAGGGGAAGCGCGACGGTTCCTTGAAGTCTCCACGTGAATACGGTCCAGGTTATTATGAAAGGATTGCCATGGGTCGCCTATTTCGCGCCGCGTTTTCCCCCTATTTCTCTACATCGAGCCTATTAATATTCAAAACACGCGTTCGCCCGAGCTCTTCCGTAATCGTTCGAGTCGCGAAAATCCGGTGGCCAGGAAGTTGCACGACGTGGAACAGATTAAAGCCGCTTTAAGCTGCCCCGGTACACCGGAAGATCGACGCACTCGACGAAATAACAATGGCGCGGGGGAGGGAGAGTTTAATCCTGCGGCGCGTCAGCCACCTTAATTGCGTCATAAAATTCCGGCGTTGTCCAACAAAAGGACTCGACGATCGGAAGTTGCTTCCGACAAGGATTCCCCAGGTGAAACTCGGAATTTTTAACGAGCATCTGCATAGCGATCGAGCTTCGAATACCGAAGCCAATGGTCATAGTTTCCAAGTCGTACAGTTAATGGCGTTTTGAATATTTAACGGGAAAGTTTGGGAAGAACCTAATTCATTGCTGAGAGAGTATAGTGATTGGTAAGATGATTGTATACTAGGAGGACGTTCTTCTTGGTAAAATTTTTGTTGCTGATAGCATTTTCGTTGCTGATTTATTTTTATGTTAGTGTTATCTATCTAAAATTGAACGTTTGAGTTTCGTCAATATTGCATTTGATTGTTTAATAGAATCTGGTCTGGATCGTAAATCGTCCTCAGAAAATTATTACTATTTATAGAATTAAGACATATGGTTGATAAAAAGTACCTATTCGAAACTGTTATTCAGAATCCGATCTCACCATGTCAATTTAACTATTCGTGTTCCATTTATAATAATACTAAATGCACACAATTTTTGCCAGAAGGTTAATTCTATACTTCAATTTTATAATTTATAATTTCATAATTGACAACAGTCATTAAGAATCCAATCTCACCATCTGAATTTGAGTACTCATGTTCCACTTATAACAATATTAAATGAACACAATTTTTATCAGAAGCTTAATTTCATACCTCGAATTAAGCTAGTGGAACACAGTTATATTTTTCAAAGCTTTTTGAAAATTCTGTTCCACTGTGGCCACGTTCGATCGGTGAACGCTCAGCGCCGAGTGATTTTAGGTCGACTGCTTTAACGGAAAGCGTTCTCTCGCCGGCTACAGTTTAACGTTATACCTTTACTCGGTTTAACGTACAATCAAGCATTCATCGTTCGAGAGAACTATGCAAATGCTGCCCGATACAGCTTCCCGGTGCCAGGAGCGAACAACCTCTGCAACTTTGTTTTGCAATTCAGCATTTTAAAATGCGCGTATTGCTGATGCATGGCGCTGTTGTTATCAAATGTCTACTCGACAGGATAGTGTACTGTTTTTAAACGAAACAACCTGCAAACGTAGGAAGCTGCTTGGAAAATGGACGATATAGTTGCTTGAATTGATTGTGGTCCTGTAGTAGGCCATTAGATTTTTAAAGAAAATTACTGGGATAGGCATTAGTGTTACTGTGACAAGTACATTAGAGAGGTAGGTGTCATAGATAAAATTCAAGAATTTTTTCCCGAGATTTAGAGATACTTTAATATTTGAATCTGACAAATATATATTCTTTGTTGTTAAAGAATTCTTATAAATGGTCACGATACAACGAATCTCCAGAAATAAATTTGACAAAATTATAACGATAATGGAGAATACTGTCTACGATCCTAATTTTTTATTTCGTTGTTAAAAACTAAAGTGCAACTGCACAATCAAAACAAACGCCATGAATAAATAAATACCCTAGAAAATACTAAAATATTCTTTTCAGCAAACATTAGTATATTAATTACAAGTTTTCGAGGCTGTCCAAATATTAAGGTGACGGTAAAATTAAATGGAACAAATAAACACTATATATTTATAAACTAGACCGAACGCTTCAATGCAATATACGTTTCAATTATTTTATCCCGCATTCCAGACGTGGTTACAGTGTCCCAAAGTGAAAAATGTAAAGTGTCCGAATATTAAATCTCCTCGCCGGTGCCTGGGAACAGCCGATTAAGTGTTAACCGTGTGCACGTAGCAATTTCAACCGGCTAAATATTTAAGCGACGTCACCGGGAGCGGTCGAGTAGAAACTGCATCGCGCGCGGGTTCATTATTTGCGTCCGCGCGTTAGAGGATACCGTTTAGACGATGTATTGTTCCGCGTTGGTCGGATTAATCATAACGAAACTCGGTTAGAGCCGGACGCGAATTAATGTCCCGCGATCACGGGAACGTCGGGTTTTCCGCGACACCCGGAATCGATAACGAGGCCAAACGAAACCGGATGCCAGCCCCGGGCCGGGTATTAATCATAGGTATCTTGGATAATCTCACGAATTTCGGCGATGGACCTGTGCACGAGCGAGAAACTAGAAAGGGGAAGGGAGGAGGAGGGAAGAGTTGAGGTGGGATCTTCCGGGCGTCATCTTCAGCTCGACTTGGCCTGATTATATCCTATCCCACTCGCTGAACCGTAAGTTAATGCACCGGCAGCGGCACTGGATTTATGATATTCCCTGTTAACTGCAGAACTCATTTAACGTAGCCCCGAGCCAGAGCTGACGCGCAAAACCGAAAGCGGGTTCCTCGCTTGTCGAGCGAAGTCTTCTTACGCGCGACCGAATGCGCTCGATAATGTCCAGAATGAATTCGGAACGTGCAATGCCGTAGGTTTATGGACACTCATGTTCGGCAACCGAAGGGATTATAAGTAGATTGAGGTAGGTAGATTGAGCGAGATTGAGACATCGTGGATGGAGCACGAGAGACTCGCGGGAAGATATTTGCTGGTAATTCTAAGAGGCGTAGATGTATGGATTTTTAAAAAATATCGGTTTATAGGGAATGATAAGACGGAACTTTTTTATATGTATTGTTTCTTCATGCGACGTTTAGTTTCAGAGATAAAAATTGAAAACTAAGAAGACCTTTTTCATGAGATCTCGTAGTGGTCTGATCCTGTTGCTGTTTTCTTAAGAAAAAAGAAAACAACAGTCGAACAATTGAATTTAAAAAAAATATCAGTTTATTGGGAATGGTAGAACGAAACTTTTTTATATGTATTGTTTTTTCATTCGACGTTTAGTTTCAGAGATAAAAATTGAAAACTTATTGGTTACGCGATTCTTATTAGTGTTTAATCGGAGACTGAATGTTACTACATATATGCATTGTAAATATTCAGTTAATTCGGAGATGTACATAGTTGATGCATTTGAAAGTTTCAGATTATTATAAGGATGTTTTTCGAAGGGGGGAGGGGAAGCTTAAATAAACGCTCGATCGCTGTCAAGCTTGAAAATCGAATCACGCCCCCGAACCTCTGGCCACGAAATTCCAATTCCCGGTCCCGGAAATGGTGTTGTCCCTCGAATGGAGTTCGATTCCGAATTAGGAAGCCACCTGCCTCGTATTGCGCGGGGCCGTACAATTTTCGCGCAATAGAATAATTCCGCTTATGCGAAAGGTGACCGGAGTCATCTGTACTTTCAATTTATTTTTGTGACATTGTGCATATCGGTTTAACACTAAACATACTTTATTTGTAATTGGTGATGGGTGAAATGTCTAGTCTTAAAGACACTTTTTTCAATTAAATGCGAAACAATAGTGTTCAACAAAATTTTATGTGGAATTAAAATGAATAATGCATGAAATAATATAATATAGTTGATATATTCCATATAAGACATTTTTCTGATTTTAAAAACCAAATGTATCTAATAAATTATTAACATTAAAGACTACATCAGCGGTAATATTTTTCTTAAATCACTCTAATTTTAATATGATATCGTAACTGTGATTAGAGGTTTTCTAGACGAGGATTAACAATGCCGCTATCTGTTTCACGTGGACTCGTCGTTGGGGCCAATATCAACTCGCGCTAGATAGTAATTATTGGCCCGAATAAAGTCACGTTGGACGCGAACGGTATTTACTGATAATCATAAACTGGGACTCTTCCGTCGTGGATTACATCACGGTGAGTAAACATCGCCGGCTGTTGGAAACAGAGGGACCGTTCGGAACCGCACCGACTCCCGTGCTGCTATTTGTACTCTATGAACGCACTATGCTTGTTCACGGCTACCGTGTATGTACAACGCGTATCTGTAATAGACACTACCGCCAGAGCTATCGTATACTATTTCAACTAATGCTTGCGATATTAATTTATCGCAGTAGGGGGCGGAGGCGCTGTGATTTATCGACGATGACGTCCCACTGCAAAACCATGGCTTTGATATGGATATATACATGGAAAAATCATTCTAAAATTGTGTTTAAGTGTGATCAGTAGCTCGATTATTAAGTATCCAAGTTAAATATACATTTTTATAGGTGTTACCTTGATTTCATTCGTAGTATTTAATTTTTGGGGGTTGCGAATTAACAATGGTCCTTATTTAAGGGTTGGACTTGTTTTACAAGAAACATTATAAATTAAATGCATAAATTTAAGTATAATGCAACACACACACACACACGCACGCACACACACACGCGCGCGTCAATTATTTCATTTTCCATCATGTATAATCCATTGTGACTAAGTTAATGACATTATTATCGTCGGTGCAACATACAACCGATCTCGAGACGAACGAAGTCGACAGGAATTGTTCCCGATGGGCGTCGTACCGCGACTGGAAATATCGACCGCAGTTAAATACGAGTGATTATCGCGATTCTAACGACCGCTTCCAGCATGCCGTAAAAATCGCTCGACCAATACGACCCCGCGCTCCTTACGGTCGACGTTCATTGATAATAATTGGATGAGCACCGTTACGTTATCGCCTTCCAATAACCGCGATGGGCCGCGGGTATCGCCTCCGCCAACCTTGAGCCACTCAACTCGTCGCGAAGTCATTGCAAACACGACTTCGCCAACTTCTTAACGGCCTCGAGTGTTCCTCGATGCCAAGACATCTCGCCAATCATAATCTTCCTCCTCGCGACGCTTTCGTGCTCGAAATGCTCATAGATCCAGGGGTTCTTGAACTTTGGAACAATTAGTGTTTGTACAGGAACGCGTCATTTTTTAATGAGGGCAGTTTATGTTTCTGGGCGTGGGAGTATTTTATATTTCGACGAAGAATATTTAGATTTGCTTTGTATTATCCAGAGGATAAATTGTAGATGAATTGGTAAATTATTTTGAGCAGTTTCAGAGGATGCAGAGAACACGATTGCTGTCATTCCATTTATATTAACACTTTCAGATCTGGCGTCTGAAAATTTGAAGTTTTCCTAGAAAACTACACTGTTAGAAATTTTGTCTATTTTTTCCACACTAATTTAAGTCCAAGTAAAAAATTATTATAAATTACATTAGTATGGGAAAAGGAATAATTCAGGTGTGAAAGGGTTAAATCTACCCTCGTCGAATTAAAAAAAAAAACACACCCCGCCAAGTGCCAGCGATTATGGAATCGTTCGTTCTCTAATTTCTCGACTTTTCTCGACCGGTGTGACTCGATCGAGAATTTAATTATAATTCTGACGATTAAATTCACTCCGCTATCGAATGACACGCGACGCGCAATGAATGCGGTAACCGTGTCTAGTGAAATGGCCACACGATAGCGCTACCGCCTAATTAGCTCTACGACGGCAATTAATAGTAACCGAGCTCTTGTTCGCGGTGCGGTGAACGCTCAGCTTCCTCGTCTATCTCGTTTACTTTTCCCGCTCGAGAATATAACAGCGGGAAACGCACGTTTTGTCTGGAAAGTTTCCAAGCTTAATTCTTTTTTTTTTTTGTAGTTACAATTAAAAAATTGGTGTAAAAGGAACTCATATTGTTATATAGTACGTTGATATATTTCCTCTTAATCTGGTACATAGTTGTTCATTCTGCAAATATAATTGCATTTTATTTCATTATACTTTTTATATTTATTTTCTTACATTTCTATTTCTATTTTTCTTGTATTCGTTCTCAAAATGTGTATCTAATAAAAAATGTGCCCCACTCGATCTATTACAAAGTTGTTCGCTCTGCAAATGAAATTGCATTTTATTTTACTATATTTTTTATATTTATTTTCTAACATTTCTATTTCTATTTTATTCTTATCTATTCTCAAAATAAAAAATGTGTCCCTGTCTTTGCCCCAAAACCTTAATCAACAGCCCGAATGAACCCCTTTTTCTAAAAAATGCACTCTTTTTTATAAACCAGACGACATAGAGCAAATTGATCTTCGCTCCATTTGAAGATATAGTTTTCAATTTGCTGACTTCATTCTCTTACGCAAGGTTGCGCAACGTGAAATTAATTCTGCAACATTATTTGCTCTAGCTTGTTTTCCTCGTGTTGCATTCACGACGCGTTATCGCGATCGCGTTTTTCTGGATTTGCAACACATCTGACGAACGTATCGTCGACTCGCAATTATCCCTGGGGAAAGTCGCATTCCCCGATAAGGAAGATAAAGGGAACTGCGAGCTTCGACGTGAAATGGAGTAGTCTCCGAAAACGAGCCGGTCCACAAACCCTCACTCCGCCCGGCTTGGCTGCTATTCTTTTTATACTGGCAGCGAGTGGAAATTTTGCCGAGCCGGCAGGGGTGATTGGATTAACTTCCAGAAGAAGGGCGCAGCAAGGATAACGACAGGAAGGCGGGTTCTTTAAATAAAGTACCGTAAAAGGAAGAGAATGGACCCTTGGAGAACCCGGCAGCAACCATTTGGAGAATTTTCAAGACATCGGAACGCGCTACCTTCGTCGTCGACAGTTTATTTAATAACAGGAAAGCCCTTCCTCGATTGCTATTGTTCTCGGTGTACAGGGACCAAGGTGATCTTTTGAAGGTACCACGGGTGATAAAGCCTTGGCACGCTTGCACAAGGTAGCAAGCTTTCGGATTTTATTGGCACGCGGCCAAACTCTACGTGGAAGTCATTGTATGATGAACGTTCGAAATACGTCAGAATTTTTTTAAATAAATTTATATTCAAAATGATTCGATGGCAGTGCTCTCTTTTCTTCTCAGTATAGAAAAATTGTACCTTATTTACAAAGGACAAAAATTCCCAAAGAAATGTAAACAAGAACTAACAAGACACTACAACCTTCAAAATATATATGTTTGATGCTAAATAGTATTTATAATTAATGTTAGATGTAAGAATTAGTTATTCTAACTGTAAGTCATTTATATTAAATATATTATGACTCTGTTATGTATATAAATGTTGAACTTGCATGCGGCAATAAATAATAATAATAATTCTGTAGCACTGCAGAAATATTTATCTAAATCAAAATAGAAGATAGTTATTGCAAAATAATTTTTGCTGGACCTTCAGTTATTACGATGTTACACACCAATGGAACTTGTTTTTCTTCGAGTGTGTTATGTTCAGGTTTACCAGGCGACAAAAAATATTAGATTAGTAGTACTTAACAGCTATGCTTCTAATGCGATACGATTCAACGAGTTTAATTGCATTCATTTTTTCGAGATAATAGAGATTGACGTTCTCCGTCAGTAACTACAGCTAATATTAAATTCAACTAATTTACAAGTCGTAGCTTGTTTAACCTTCATATTGTCTGCTGGATCGTTTGGATATCAAACTGTATATTGGTTACACAATCTACTTTCGCGTTGTTGATCTTAATTGACCGTGATTTACCGTATCAAGAAACATATAAATCAATTTATTGAAATACCTTGACGTCCCATTGACGCTCGTACGCGAACGGAAGTAAAGGGTTGAATATCTCTGCTTTCGTTGTGACAATACGAAAAAAAACGTTCAGGGGAAGAATTGTTCGACGCAAATGTGCAAATACCGTTAATAACAGGAAATTATTTATTAGTCATCCATCACCAAGGCCATCGATATATCTTTTTAATAAGTTGAGAGGTTAATTAGTCATTACAACAGTCACGCAGCAAATGAAAAGAAAAATTCAACGACATGCGATATGTTGACCTTCACTTAACCTTGAACTAGCTTGAATACTTCTTCGATGGCGATGAATGAAGATATTAAAGAAGTAAAATTAGATATTAAAAAATTGCAAGGCATTTACTTTGTCATTTCAAGTTGACAGTCTTGATAAGTGTCTTCAGTATCGTCACTGGTTATCAGAGACGTTATGTAATTGAGACTTGTACGTCATCTTACGTAAAATGTCGATGTATTATATTAACCCTTTGCAATTGACTTATATTAAAATACAACTAACTATTAATTGAAACAATAATACATCGAGGACATCAATGTTCGTAGATGTTTCTCTTTGAAGCAGAGTTTTTGATTTTACCGAAATTTACTATATAAATGAACTGGACTTGATTTTATAGAAAAATGCCTCGACAACAAAGGGAACGTGTACTCTGAAACAACAGAGGGTTAATAAAATAACGTCAAAAGTGCCTTAATGGTGTCTAGAAACTTCTGAAGGTTAGTTTCACCCCTGCGACCCGGTCCTCTTCGATCCAAAAGACAAAGAAGGTCCCCTAATTTCTACCACTCCACAAATATCCGCGGGATCGAGATAATCGTTGCGAGACGTTTCGCGGATGGTCCTCGAGGATCTCCTAAACGGCGGATTACCGTTGCAATCGGAAATCGTTGGTTCGTTCGACGTCTGGCCGGTCCTGTCTCCCATTCGCGGCCCATATCGTTTCCGTGGGATTGCCACGAACGAGGAGCAAACGGAGATTCCAGTGGAAAGTGTCGTGGAAACGCGACGACGAACGCGACGACACCGCGGAGCGGGGTAAGAGGGACGACAGCCGAGGGGATGAACTCTTGGACGCGTAGGGGTAGAAATGTAACGACCGTATTCAGCCAGGAGTGGTGCTGGCGATCGTCGTCACGTTCTGCAACGACTTAACCCTTAGCGCAAACAATTCTATGACAATTATGGATACGTTACAGCATGAGGATTTTACAAGGTATCATTTATTTTAGGAACGTTTATTTAACGAACGTTTCGTCGAATTTTGTAAATCTTTATAGAAACATTTTATTTTAATATATTAATATTTTATTAATATCTGATTTTATATTATACGTTGAATATTTATTATAAGGTAGCATATGAGAAGAGTTTTGCAAATCCTATAGAAACATTTTATCTTAATATATTGATTTATTGTATTATGTGTTAGCATACAAGGAAAATTCAGCTAATTTTTTTGGAAACATTTCATGTTTGAATAAAGAATATTCGTACTTTTATTTTCTTCGTAGGAATGAATTTAAAACTATCAAAAAATATTTAAATAAATTACATGTCGCACCGTCTAGAGGATAAGACATACTTTCATTTAAAATTCAATTCTTCATCTGAATCTCTACAAATATAAATTTGCATCCG